CACTGCACCTGTACACAGCCCTTCTGAAATTAGCCCACTCAACTACCTCATCCCCATATTGTTATTTATTTAGCTCATTTGCACCCCAGTATCTCTATTTGCACATCATCTCTTGCACATCTATCATTCCATTGTTAATACTAATTGTAATTATTTTGCACTATGGCCTATTTATTGCCTTACCTCCATAACTTGCTACATTTGCACACACTGTATATATATTTTCTGTGGTATTTTTGACTTTATGTTTTGTTTTACCCCATATGTAACTCTGTGTTGTTGTTGTTTTTATCGCACTGCTTTGCTTTATCTTGGCCAGGTCGCAGTTGTAAATGAGAACTTGTTCTCAACTGGCTTACCTGGTTAAATAAAGGTAAAGAAATTAACTAAAATAATAATAATATCCAAGCCTCTTTTGAACTTGCGAGCTCTTTTCTCGACCGTTGCTGTTTTGTCTGGCCGGTCACCTCGGGCAATCTTCCAGAGAGACAGTGAGATTACTATCCCAGAATGCTGCAGTGCCCAGTGTGTCAGGGTAGATCTGGAGTTGTCATGGCATCTCTCTGCTGAGCCACACACAGCGACCCGCTCCACATGATGGAGAGCGGACGTGACACAAGCTTAGCCAGCCTGGTGTTTGTGGTGTGTGTGTGTGTGTGTGTGTGTGTGTGTGTGTGTGTCTGGACACGTCCTGTGGAAACACAGATCATAGTCGCGATAAAGACTGACAGGGAGTGGTTTTTGGACTGAACCTGACTTAATTTACCCCATCTTAGAAAAAGACCATACACTGCACCACCAATACACAGTATCTGTAGAACCATACCTCACACTGATGCATCTATAGATACACAACATGGATGCATATTACCCATACATCCACATATGCACCACCAGCATGTATGCACTTCATACACTCCGAATCTGGTAAAGGTTGATATTTTTATAGCGCTGATCCTCAACAGCGCTAGCTAACCTGATGCCAGCTCATTTGCAGTGATGAAGTGGCACCAGAGGATAGTCAGCCACGCCTCTTAATGAGCATCTAATGTGAGGTAGCGCCATGCCCTGTTTACAGAGCTGTCACACCTCATAGATGAGAGGAGGGGAAGCGGCTCGATAACACACACACTGGCCAGGGATGAGGCGGAGGCAAAGGGGGAAGATCAGGATGAGGAGGGAGGGCAGTGTGGGGGGTTGGCGCTCTCTCCCGGGGCCCTCCCGCAGCTGTTGTAATCAATTACAGCATCAGAACACTGATGTATGATAATTACTATGAGCCCCCCTCCCCTCACTCCTCTACGCACTCTTCTCCCAGACAGACCCCCTCCCCCTCGCAGACACGCACACACATTCATACACTCGCACACACACAAATTCATACACTTGCGCACGCACGCACACCCACTCATACACACACACACACACACACACACACACACACACACACACACACACACACACACACACACAGCCCCTCTGCTGTTCAGGGCTACATCACCCCCCACCTCTTACATATACACACACACACCCCTCTCTGTCGGCGCCGGGGCAGAGGCATGATGAATTACATTTACTGGCTGTCCTACATTAAGTACCCTTTCTCCATCATTTTCCCCGCAAATTAGCCACGACAATATATAGATTACAGAGATGACTTTAGAACCGGAGAGGGAGATCGGGAACACAGGGAGGGAGGGAGAGAGGGAGGGAGGGAGAGATGATCAGAAATTAATGGCTTTTAAAATGGACCCGTAGCTTAGAAAGAAATGTAAATGTCAGCTTGCCTGTCTGCTTAATCCAGGGCTGGCCAGAGCATTTAAAAGTACATTATGTTCTTGGGATGGGGTTTAATGGGACACTTGCTAGATATGGAGCAGGGCAAGCAAACAGGGCAGGGGAGGGGAGGGCCTTTCCTGGAACAAGGGTAGAAACCCATACACTGATACGTATTCTGTCACACACACACTCTCCCCAAAAGATACACCCACAGACAAACACAATCAAAAACACTTAATCGCACACACATTCTCACACACACATTCTTATGCAGTCACGGCAACGGGGCCCAAAGTGTGTTTAAAAAGTCCCATTTTGTGGAACATGTGAATAGCCGGTGTAATGGGCCAGGCTTTAGAGTCCCATAATGCATCTCTCACAGGACATTGTACCAATCGGTGTCTCTGTGCCCTGGCTGAGGGGAGACCACACAGCCCTGTTAAATAGGACAGCCCAGATGGACTGAAGAGAAAGAGATGGAGGGAGAGAAAGAACAGAGAGAGAAGATAGAGGGAGAGACAGCTACATTGTTTATTTACTTCGTCCAAAAGTGTTTTCAGAAACGCATATGGAATGGACTGTAAAAGCACTGTGGGAGCACTGTAAAAGTACCCTCTAAAAGCTGTGAAACGTGATCAAAAGCTTTTAAAACCGACACAAGGCCATAGTGTGTTAGTTTGTACCTCATTGTGTAGGAGTATGTTAGTGTGTGTCAGTGTATCCTCTTTCCAGGACATTATAATGTCCTCACTGCCCCTTATTAGAACACACCACAGTTTGCCCAGCTATAAGTAGCCCTCCCCAGGGGTGTGTGTGGAAGCTACATACAGAGTACACACCCTCCAGGTGCCTCTCAGAATGTGTGTGTGTGTGTGTGTGTGTGTTAGGTGAAGTGTTCCCTTCCCTCTCATCTGTCTCTGCTCATCCTTTCCCCTCAGTGCTAACATGCCCTCACTCTGTCAGGAACACCGATAGATACACTGGGATGGGAAACATGAAGGGACACTGTTTATACCGGTGCCATCTTTATCCCATACACTAACCAAGGGTCATATGACTACCATGTTGTATGTTCAGTTATTTCCAAACGCTTTGTTCGTATATCGGAATGTTGAGTGTTACCTCATACGGATATTTGATCTAAAAATGTAGTTTGGGCCGAAATGTAGTCATACATTTGCATATGCAAATGTTTATGCAAATGTTTATATATATAGTGTAGGCATACATTGGTATTTAAATTGGTGCCACGGTATCTTTGGAACAAAAAGCCTTTGGTTGCAGTTGAACGGGGCCAGTCATGGAGTAATGTGTTTATCTAAAAGCCAGCGAAAGCTGTTTTAGGCCCTTTTAGTGTCACCAGTGTCAGAGTTGCAAGCAGCTGTACATCCAGATGCAGCTATCTCTCTCTCTCTCTCTTTCTCTCTCTCCCTCATCCGCTCTCTTATCACTCCATCATCTGGCGTCAAACAAAACAGAGTGCCATGTGAGGGAAAGCAGAAAACATTGGCCCCTCTTTCCTCTCCTCTCTCCCCCAATGCAATGTACCCCTGGGGGCCACTGGGCCAGTGACATAGCTGGGCTGTGGGTCACTGGCACCATGTCACTGGACAACCTGTCATGTGGAGAACCCCACCCCTCCCTTGTCTCCCCCGCCCCCCCCTGCCCCCCTCTCGTCCCCCTCGCACCACGCTGCCAGATAAAATGTCACCAGTAGGCTTAGCGAGCCGGGCGGGAGATGCGAGCTGACTGCCTCCCCCCTCCACGCACACACACAGACACACACATACACTCCCCCCTCAGCTGTTTCCCCCAGCACGGCAGGGAGGTAATCACTAGTGACGGCTCCCCTCGGCTGCTCACTTTAGGGCCGCAGCCAGCCGCACACACACAGAGACAGACACAGCTCATGCACATACCCTCACACAAATATGCATAACATGCGTGGTGAGCACATGCACGCACTCACCACACAAACACAGCATACACATACCCCACACACGCGCACATACGCACTCTACCACACAGGGTGGGCAGAGAGAGGGAAGGAGGGAAAATGGAGGGAGAGAGAGAGCAGGAGCTTCATTTGGAGCCTCTGACTCATCAAAATAAATCATTTGTTTTTCCAGACTTCAGAAATCATTTTAGCAAACAATTGAAGCCTCCCTCCTGGCTTCGGCTGGGGATTACTGATGAGTTGTCCCTCCTGTGCTCTGCTGGCAGCCAGGGACAATGTAGTGTAGGACACCCCTCTCACTTCAGGATAATGTCTGTCTACTCTATCCACTACCCGCTACCCACTCGACAGAGCAGGACAGGAGAAAGTCCTAGCACCACACACACACACACACACACACACAGATATAGCTACACACACAACAGGGTACACAACATCCTTCCATTTGGTAGTCACGGGCCTAGGAGTGCCAAGACGAGCGTGTTGGACATGCTCGCATCATCAGCTCTGAAATGTGACAAACAAGTCCATTTTGTGTTCAAGTTGATTTACTGTAAAGCACGCTGCTTGAACAGAATCATAAATCTCACTCAGAACGCATACAACCAACACATACACACGTATCTGATCTTCTGACAGGCACTTTCCCGTCAATGCAACTCAACGTGCACTTTTCCTACTGAGGCGCAGAGAGGAAGAAAACTGCACATGCAGTGATTTTCTACTCATCTGCTCCACATTCTCGCTCTCTCCTCTCTCTCTCCCTCTCTGTTCATCTCTGACAGACTGCTGTCTCATGGGGAGAGTTGATTGGCCGTGCAATGGGCCATCACACAGCCATTGGGTAGAGGGAGGGGAGGGGGAGCTGGTGGAGATGACAGAATCACACCGACACATTAGCGCCAATCATTCTCTATGTGTGCATGCTGGAATGACTGTTTGTTTGACGGAGCATTGGAGCAGAGTACATGTAGCCCATAGAGTTAGCTGGAGGCTAGCTGATAGACAGTATGAGTACTAATGTTGTAGGGACGCTAATGTAGTTGGTGGAAATCATACTGAGTTGCTTGTGATTAGAGAATAACTTGGGTCCCAATTCAATAAATTGCAGATTGGGAGTCCCCCCTACCAAGGGTTTAAGTTTTGAATAGAAATTGTTTTTGTTGTGTTGCTATTGAATTGTGCACATTTGAGTGTCCCAAAAATATAAAGTCGTCTTTGTCTCTCTCTGACACTTGGTTCTTTCTCTCATGTCTCCACAGAAAACACCCCAAAGACCTCAGCCAGCTGCAGCCCGGCCCCAGAGTCCCCCCTCAGCTCAGCCGAGGAGTCGGTGAAGAGCCTGGGGGAGCAGGGGGGAGGAGGAGGGGGATGTGGAGGAGGATCGTCCCAGGTCCCCCCCAGGGAGCCCAGCGAGCCCTCTGAGTCCCAGCCCGGCACGCCACTGCCCGTCCCCGGCCACTCAGGTCTCAGCATCCAGGAGATGGTGGCCATGTCCCCGGAGCTGGACACCTACATCATCACCAAGAAGGTCAAGGAGGTGCTAACCGACAACAACCTCGGTGAGTTGTAGTGGCGTTATCATACCACTCTGGTCTTGTCTTTCAACAGTCACTTCTTCAAGTCTTCCTTTCCAATTGACCAGCACAACAAAGCATTCAGTTCCCCCCTTCTTCCCCGAGGTGTGCAACTGGCCTTATTCACTTCGTCCAGTACTAATGTGTATATCACCCACCTGGGTTATTCCACGGCAGCCATTTTGTGCCAGAGCATTCACCAGTGACCACACATGAGCTATCGCAGTGGAGAGGTGAGGAGCGATTGTTACATTGTGCCAATGCTACTGTGTACTGCTTACCAAGCAGCACAAACTCCCAACAAGCTTTTCTCTCCTCCCAATGATAATAATTAGTTTCAATTATAAAAATAAAAATAAACTGTCTGAGAGTTGCAACACTTCAAACGAATAATGTTGTGCCGGGTTCGGTGCATGTGTCATCATTGTACACATTATCTCCGCTCCAGAACGGGGAAATGCTCTTTACCCCACCAGCGTCACACAGGGCTGCCAAGGCTGAAAGAATTAGCCAGTTGCCATGTTCCACAAGCTGGCCAGCTAGCTCATTAGTCGTTCCCTCAGCTAAAATTAACCAGCCCTACTATCAACTCACACAACAAAGGAACAGAGAGCACAGTTTACACACTGTCCTGGGAGGACCCAAAGCTGGAGCTAGCTCCTATCACAGCCAGTGTATTGGCACAATTGGGATGTGGTCGTGCTTCAAGACAAAGTGTTTCCTGGTTAGCCTCTGAGCCGGTTGGATAACTTGGGTCACTTATCTGTTGAACATTGAGTTACAGTATGGTGGATACTATCAGATACTAGCCAGATTAATATTGGGACAAAGCCTGGTTGTCATAGGGCTGCGCTCCACCTCATTCCCAGACCTCTCAATTAGCCCCACAGAGAAGACCTCCCTCCATCTCAGTTCCCTAGACCTGGCCACAGCTCACCACCTCCTCCTCTCCCCTGTCAGGACAGTGAGGCGGCCAGGGCCAATGATGGATGGTGTCATTTAGCAGCTCCCTTCAGCCAAACTCCCATCTCTGTCAACTACTGTAGCCCATGCCTTAATGTAGCACTGCACCCTCTTGGCTAGGTTGTTGTAAAATACAATGTTTTCACTTCCTCACCTGAATATTTAAAGGTAATGCAAATAGTAATGTGTATAGTCTAGTAGCCTAGTCACTCTTCTACCTGATATAGCTCACTTCTTGATATCGGTAAGGCAACCAAAAATGTAGTTATCCATTTTGGTGTGGCACTCAATTGGGTGATTTACGAGTATGATTTATTTGCTTTGTAATTCACACATTTTGAGATTCGCCCCAACACAAATGACGCACACAGCCAAATCAGATTTTTTTATAGGGCTCGAAGTGGTGCGTGCAAATGTGGCCAATCAGTGTGATTTGTTTCGCACACATTTTAGGAAATATGTGCACAAAGGATGCCTCTCATTGAACATGTTTACGCTTGCTGCTTGTACCCAAATCTAATATTTTTCAGTGGGACATTATATTAGCTGGTGGTCCATAATGTATTTTCTTAGGTGCTTTGATTTATGGCAATGGAATTGTGTGATTTGATTTAGACCTTAATTGTTCATTAAGAATAGATGAACAAGTTCACCCTTGTACTTTACTTTCATACACAGACTGAGATCCACAGGGCTACTGTGTGCATCACTGCATCCAATTGCGATAAGAACAGGGCTTGAGATGTGTGTGTCTGTGTGTAATGTTTGTGTGTGTGTACTATAAGAGAGAATGTGTGTGTTCAGCGCAAAACAAAGCCCTGTCGGAGTCAGTGAGAGAAGGAAACGGTAAAGCAGCCCTTCCATCTCAGTGCAACACACACGCACATACCCCAAGAGATTCTCTCAGCAGGACTGGCGTCACCTGTTCTCTGTCTCCCAGCCCCATGCTGTCTACTCATCCACTTCTCTTCTCTTTAGAGGAACTGCTCCCAAATCCCAGCGCCTTTCAGTAGCGCTTCACATCTCTGCCTCTCTCTCTCACCGCCACTCTGCCTGCCTGCGTTTGTTCAGCTGCCCCAACGCTCAGCTCCCCGGCATGAAACACTGTGAGAAGCACAGTGAAGAGCAACACCACCCTCCCTCCTTGCTGCCAAAGGCATATTTGAGGGGTCCCCTGGGACATAGTGTGGGGAAATGTAGCTCCGCAGCGCTCTGTGTGAGAGCTCGCCAGCTTTGAAGCCTTTCAAGAACCCGATGTTCTGCTGTGGTGAATGTTTATGCTGCGAACAGAGAGAGAGACCTCGGTTGTTGTTTTGTATTTATTTATGTGAATCCAGACCTTTTTTAATGCCTTTAAAACAACTCAGGCACTCAAACGCCAGTCAAATACTATTTAAACTCTCTTCTCTGATTGAAGTCAGCCACAGTTGCAGCAGACAAAACGCTGCCAACTTCTGATGGCAAGTTTTCAATGCCACCCTGCCCTGTACCTTGGAAACTTAAAGGACGTGTAACTTCAAGTTTATTCCAATAGCAAGCAAAGTGAAAAAAAGGTGAATAAAATGTTGAATGTTGACACTACAGTCGCGGTCAAAGGTTTGGGAATGACACAAGTATTAGTCTTCACAAAGTTCGCTGCTTCAGTGTTATGAGATATTTTTGTCAGATGTTACTATGGTATACTGAAGTATAATTACAAGCATTCCATAAGTGTCAGGCTTTTATTGACAATTACATGAAGTTTATGCAAAGAGTCAATATTTGCAGTGTTGACCCTTCTTTTTCAAGACCTCTGCAATCCGCCCTGGCATGCTGTCAATTAACTTCTGGGCCACATCCTGACTGATGGCAGCCCATTCTTGCATAATCAATGCTTGGAGTTTGTCAGAATTTGTGGGTTTTTGTTTGTCCACCTGCCTCTTGAGGATCGACCACAAGTTCTCAATGGGATTAAGGTCTGGGGAGTTTCTTGGCCATGGACCCAAAATTTCGATGTTTTGTTACCCGAGCCACTTAGTTATCACTTTTTCCTTATGGCAAGGTGCTCCATCATGCTGGAAAAGGCATTGGTCGTCACCAAACTGTTCTTGGATGGTTGGGAGAAGTTGCTCTCGGAGGATGTGTTGGTACCATTCTTTATTCATGGCTGTGTTCTTAGGCAAAATTGTGAGTGAGCCACTCCCTTGGCTGAGAAGCAACCCCACAATGGTCTCAGGATGCTTTACTCTTGGCATGACACAGGACTGATGGTAGCGCTCACCTTGTCTTCTCCGGACAAGCTTTTTTCCGGATGCCCCAAACAATCGGAAAGGGGATTCATCAGAGAAAATGACTTTACCCCAGTCCTCAGCAGTCCAATCCCTGTACCTTTTGCAGAATATCAGTCTGTCCCTGATGTTTTTCCTGGAGAGAAGTGGCTTCTTTGCTGCCCTTCTTGACACCAGGCCATCCTCCAAAAGTCTTCGCCTCACTGTGCGTGCAGATGCACTCACACCTGCCTGCTGCCATTCCTGAGCAAGCTCTGCACTGGTGGTGCCCCGATCCCGCAGCTGAATCAACTTTAGGAGACGGTCCTGGCGCTTGCTGGACTTTCTTGGGCGCCCTGACGCCTTCTTCACAACAATTGAACCTCTCTCCTTGAAGTTCTTGATGATCCGATAAATGGTTGATTTAGGTGCAATCTTACTAGCAGCAATATCCTTGCCTTTGAAGCCCTTTTTGTGCAAAGCAATGATGACGGCACGTGTTTCCTTGCAGGTAACCATGGTTAACAGAGGAAGAACAATGATTTCAAGCACCACCCTCCTTTTAAAGCTTCCAGTCTGTTATTCTAACTCAATCAGCATGACAGAGTGATCTCCAGCCTTGTCCTCGTCAACACTCTCACCTGTGTTAACGAGAGAATCACTGACATGATGTCAGCTGGTCCTTTTGTGGCAGGGTTGAAATGCAGTGGAAATGTTTTTTGGGGGATTAAGTTCATTTTCATGGCAAAGAGGGACTTTGCAATTAATTAATCCTTCTACCCCCCCCCCCCCCATTATTTAATTTTTTAAAAAGTGGTTGTCCCACTCGCTATCATAAGTTGAATGCACCAATTTGTAAGTCGCTCTGGATAAGAGCGTCTGCTAAATTATGTAAATGTAATTGCAATTCATCTGATCACTCTTCATGACATTCTGGAGTATATGACATTCTGGTCCCCTGTAGCTCAGTTGGTAGAGCATGGTGCTTGCAACGCCAGGGTTGTGGGTTCGTTTCCCACGGGGGGCCAGTATGAAAATGTATGCACTCACTAACTGTAAGTCGCTCTGGATAAGAGCGTCTGCTAAATGACTAAAATGTAAATGTATGCAAATTGCCATCATCAAAACTGAGGCAGCAGACTTTGTGAAAATTAGTATTTGTGTCATTCTCAAAACTTTTGACCATGACTGTAGCTCCCCAGCTAACAATTCTAGGGAGAGATAACGTTTTTATAATGTTACCCTAATGTTTGAGTGTCCAGTTTTCTGTTAGTTAGGGGAGCATTCTATCTATCTATGTTAGCAAAAACCTTCAGATAACCTTTTTAACGTGTTTTGGTGTTAAAGTTAGGAGAACATTCCCTTAAAGTCAAGCAGAACTTATCTACACTGAACAAAAATATGAACGCAACATGTAAAGTGTTGGTCCCATGTTTCATGAGCTGAAATAAACAATCCCAGAAATGTTGTTTACATCCCTGTTAGTGAGCATTTCTCCTTTGCCAAGATAATCCATCCACCTGACAGGTGTGGCATATCAAGAATCTGATTAAACAGCATGATCTTTACACAGGTGCACCTTGTGCTGGGGACAATAAAAGGCCACTTTAAAACGTGCAGTTTTGTCACACAACACATAAAGCCCTTTAGTGGGGAAAAACTCATTCTGATTGGCTGGGCCTGGCTCCGCAGTGGGTGGGCCTGGCTGCCAAGAGGGTGGGCCTGTGCCCTCCAAGGCCCACCCATGGCTTCACCCGTGCCCAGTCATGTGAATTCCATAGATTAGGGCCTAATGAAATTATTTCAATCGACTGATTTCCTTATATGAGCTGTTACTCAGTAAAATCGTTGAAATTGCTGCATGTTGCATTTATATTTTTTGTTCAGTATAGAACGTGGTTACAATGTTCTCAGAATACGATATGACATTAAAATATATTGCTAAGAATGTGAGAGTAGGGTGACTACCCTAGTAGGTATCGAACCCAGGCCACCAGCACCAGTGACGAACACCCTAACCACTGTCCCAATAAGGGACATCTCAAGGACACTTGAGGGCCAGTATACTTATATCTCAAGGACACTTATTGGGCCAGTATATTTAGGCTCTTTCCAGAAGAAACCCTAAATCCTCCTCCCTAGGCACTTGTGTAGATCTGAAACAACTTGATAGGTGTAAGCAATAGGGTGAATGCACTTTAATGTAAATCTCAGCTCTGTTAAAAGTACACTCAAGAAAATATTTTATTGATCATAGTGATTTAGCAGTGTAATTAAAACAGGTTAATATGCCCCACCAACCTTAGACAACTATACAGAAAGTCCTTCAATTGCTGAAATAGGCTAATAAAATCAATGATGAGAAGAGTCATATGAACTTATACATGATACGGACATGGTGGCATAGCAGGAAGATCGGAGTACCGTGAACCAAGAGGTTGTGAGTTAAAATCCCAGGTGAGGACATGTTGAATAATAATTACTGTATGAATGAACATGCACAATGTAATCATGTATGTCAAATATGTAAGTTGAAAACACTATGTTAAAAGCACTGTGTGTGTGAGTATCCCTAACCTTGCTAACAGACAAAGCGCTATGAATGGATCAGTGGTTCTCAGGGCCTTGATTGGCTCGGCAACAGTAATGTGGTGTGTAATAAATGTTTCTTTGGACACATAAATGTTCTTGCAACGTTCCCATGAAACGTGTCTAAAACATTAATATATTATGTTCTGAGAACATGGCAAACCTATTCTCTGTATGTTTGGTGGGACGTTAATGGAATATTCTCCTAACCCTCAGAAAACGGGACACATGAATGTTCTTGCAACGTTCCCATGAAACATGTCTAGAACATTAATATCACATTTTATAAACATGGAAACCGTGTTCTGTGTATGTTTGGTGGGACGTTGATGGAATATTCTCCTAACCCACAGAAAACTGGACACAATAATGTTCTTGCAACATTCCCATGAAACGTGTCTAGAACATTAATATCCTAAGTTCTGAGAACATGTTAACCACGTTCTGGGTAAGTTCTATTTGACATTAAGGGAATGGTCTCTTGGAAACATTCCTTGCACATCACAGGAGCGTTCCTATGAAATCGTTAGTTAATGACCTAATGAGACTACAGTTTTGGGAACATTTGTTGTTAACTGGGTCATGCCCTAATTCTCATCCTTTTTATAAAGGATTTCAGGCACTGTTTAAGTGCTCTTCTTCCGAATATTGCTCTATCCATACTTCAGGTGACGTGGTCTAATGATTCTAGTTGCCTTTCAGTTGAATGCATTCAGTTGTACAATTGACTAGGTATCCCCCTTTCCCTTTCTAGTGACTACCCTCTCTGTCCTTCTCTGAGTTGTGGATCTAACCCCCTTCTCTCTCTCTTTCTCTCTCTGATCCCCCCAGGTCAGCGTCTGTTTGGGGAAACCATCCTGGGTCTGACCCAGGGCTCGGTGTCTGACCTGCTGGCGAGGCCCAAGCCCTGGCACAAACTCAGCCTGAAGGGACGCGAGCCCTTCGTCCGCATGCAGCTCTGGCTCCAGGACCCACTCAACGTGGAGAAACTCATGGACATGAAACGCATGGAGAAGAAAGGTAATCCTTTTTTCCTTTCCATCCCTCTTTCCTCCCTCTCTGTTTCTTTTTAGTGTTCTTCTTTACCTCCCTCCCTACCTCACCTCTGTAACAAGTTCTAAATCGCCCCCCCTAGCCTAGCCATTACCCTTTTATACATCTGAAAATAAAATGGTTAAAGCCAAAGGACAGTATGGCATTTTCCCCGCTATGCGCTCTGATAGGCTAGGCAGAATTTGTGCCACATTGTCCTTGGATGGGACTTGGAGTTAGGCATGAGTGTGTCCTTTATGTCCTTGCTTTCAAGACAGAGAATAGGATAGAGAGAACAGTTTTTTTGCACACTGATGTAGCTACAAGCTACTAGCTAGCTACCTCCATAGGCCATGTCTTTACCCACAAACATCTGTCCCTGCACCCCTCCCTGGGAGTGTACCATCCCCTCAAGGCCGCCAGGCAACCCTCCTAAACACTCTGTGGCGCTTGAAGTAGAGAGAATAAAGTAAAACAAGATGGATGGAGAGAACGAGATGGAGTGAGAGGATGAGCTAGCGAACAAGGGAGAGGGACGGAGAGGAAGAAAGAGCATGAGGGGGGCATTTCTGATTGCTCTTTTTCCTCCTCTAATAGCCCAGATGTGTCCCCGGGCTGCCGAGTCAAACCGCACATGCCCAGTGCTCCTGGTTAAATAGAAAAGGAGGTGGAGACTTGTGTGTGTCGGAGGGGTGGGGGATATGTGTTTCTCGGCGCTGTCGAGATCAATCTGGGCACGAGACGTCAACGCTGTCATCAGACATGACGGGCCCCAGTCTCTCCGGGGCCTTCTTATTCAAAGTCCAATGCACTCATCAGAGCCCTCTTTTCTCCCCTTCCCTCTCTCCACTCCTCCTCCCCCTCCCTCTCTCCGTAAGCAAAGGGAACATTCTTGGAGTGATTAGGCCATTAACACTTCTCCCGGGGTAAAAGTTCCATATACTGGTCCTTCTTTGGGGCTGGGGCTGACGCTAGGCTAGTTATGAGTCAAAGCCCAGTCTGACGAAGTGTGTGGGGTAGCGTTACCGTAGCGAAGCACGGAGGCTAACTGCAGGGAGACTCCTCATTTGCCAGCTAACGCTAGGGCCTGGATGTTATTTTCCCTGCCTAACCCCCCGATCAGGCGACAGAGACTTCTGCTCATAACACAGCTAGGACTACTGGGTTTTGCACTCTGTATGCATGATGATAATGATGTGTGTTTTATATAGTGCTTTTTGTTAGGTCTAAAAGCACTTAAAATTGTATGGTCAAATGTGGTCAAATGATAGGGCAGCTGATATGGATGGCTATTAAGGCTTAATGGAAGCTCTGTTTCCCCTTAACAGATTATCTTGGATAAGCTTAACACTAACCCAGTCCTCTCCTCACTATAACCATTTTGGAGTTTTAAAAAAAGCAAGGCGGAGCTATCAGCACTTAAGTAAAAATCGTCATACATCTCAAGCTAAAGGGTAACAGGCTAGCCATTACCCATTAGCATGTTGAAGCTTGCATCTTAAATGTACAGTCAGGGAGCCTATTGTTTAGATTATCAACAAAAGGTATCCCATTGTAACGTTCAAGTGTTGCTGCTATATATATATGAAGACATAGCATAAATCCTGTTTCTATTTTGGTGCATAATGTGACTTACCTGTTACTTCCATGTCACACATGCCATGTGAACATGTTTAAACGTATCAAGCAGGTCTCAAGAGGAGTCGAACAGTCAATTTCCTATCAATTTTTCTACATGGTAACCTTACCACGCATGTTGTGTGAGGGAATGTGTCTCCTGAGTATTTGTGGTAATACTGCCCCCTGGTGGCAATGTTTCTTTGATTTTGTGGCTTTTGTATTAGTGTATTTAGCTATGGCGTCTACCTGTGAGCCTTATAAAAGATCACATCCACATTTGTTGAATGCTGTGGTATTTCAGTTGCTGCGGACAGATATCATGTTATCATGTTGCTTGTATGAATTTAAAGCGGAATTGAAAAGAGGACATCTTTTCATTGTTAACTCTGTGTGCAGCCCTGTCAGGCAAGTCTACATGGAGTTTACATGGCATCCTCATACTATAGTTAACCCTTCCATCTCTCTCTGTAGAGGGCTCATACATTTTCAACCCTTTGCCCTCCTGTCTCTCCCCGCCAGCGTACATGAAGCGGCGTCACAGCTCTGTGAGCGAGAGCCAGGCGGCGGACAGTGGGGGCCTGTCAGGGGGAGACTTCAGCCAGGGGGGCAGCCCCCAGCACGGCCTCGGCCACCACCTGCACCAGCAGCAGCCTCCCCAGCAGCATCTGAAGAAGGCCCGTGTGGTGCTGGCCCCCGAGGAGAAGGAGGCCCTGAAGAGGGCCTACCAGCAGAAGCCCTACCCCTCGCCCAAGACCATCGAGGAGCTGGCCTCACAGCTCAACCTCAAGACCAGCACCGTCATCAACTGGTTCCACAACTATAGGTGGGTGGAGAGAAGCAGCGGGAGAAGGCTGGGAATTGATGCAGACCTGGGTCTAAATAGTTTATTTTATTTTATTCCAAATACTTAAGACATGCTTGCTTTTTGCTGTGTTGATGTGAGAGACTCCCAGCTTTGTCTGTGTCTGACTGAGGGATGTTGGGGTTCCTCTGCTCTCTTTCTCTCTGACCTCCAGGTCTCGTATCCGACGGGAGCTTTTCATCGAGGAGATCCAGCGAGGCGAGGGAGGTGAGGGCGGCTCCCCGTCCACCAGGGCGGGCAAGGCCAGCGAGGGCGACAGCTGTGACGGTACCGAGTCAGATGGCACGGTGGAGGGCACACGCCCCGGCCACGAGCACCACCCGGCCTCGGAAGGCGAGGGGGGGTCCGACCACAGAGACGAGGGCACCACCTCAGCCACCGGCAGCAACGCTGCAGGTACCAGCGGCCACCACAAGGGTGGCGCCCTGGACAGCCTGTTCAGCTTCCCCGAGAGCACCCATGTTTCCTCTGCGTCTGTGGCCGCCACCACCGCTGCCCGCAACCCCCGCGACAGCAGCCTGCGCAAGAAGAAAGCCGCCAACCTCAATAATATCATCCACCGCCTGGAGAAGGCCGCCGGCAAAGACGAGCCCCATGAGTGGGAGTTCTAATACGGTCCCCCCTGCTCATGCTGCTGGGGAGAGAGAGAGGTTCTAATACGGTCCCCCCTGCTCATGCTGCTGGGGAGAGAGATAGTTACTATTTTTCTAGTGCCCTGACTGCACAGTCCCAAGGCCAAGACTGGAGCAGTGCTGCCAGAGAAGAACTGGCGTCTTTTACGAGTTTTCATATCAGAGGGTTTAGAGATTTCTTTGAGAAGCGAAACAACCGCAACAACCTTGTTTTGTTTGGAGATAAAGCACTTAACAGCCCTGCTGGCCACAGGGCCCTAACACCACAGGCCAAAGGTGCGAAAGAGACGAAAGACTTGCGCTACTCACAAAGTAGCGTCACTCCACAGGAGGAAACTGTTACGAGAAGCAATTCCGTGTTTTCTTTGTGTGTGTGTGTGTGTGTGTGTGTGTGTGTGTGTGTGTGTGTGTGCGTGTGTGTGTGTGTGTTTCCCTTTGAGAGATTTATTCACCACCTCAAAGTTTTTCTAACCTTGTTCGCTCTGTGAGTTTTCACGTCTAGTAGACTAACTGTTAGAATGTTTTCCCTTTTTCTGTTTTCTAAGAGGTTATTTCTCCTCATAACTCCATTGCAGTTGTTTGGCTATCTGATAGGATCGTCAAACAAAAAAAGAGAATGAAAAGCCAAGCATTTAGAAAATGAGTCTGCAGGAGAGGAGAACCATGGAGAACCCTTTCCCAAGCAATGTTCCTTTCTGTGCCCCAAAAGTTGCCATGTAATGGCATTGGAACTCTTAATATGCTATGGACTCTATTGAGAAAATAATGACAATTTTTATCAAATTATTTTTCTTTATAGCAATTTGGTTGCCACTAAGAGATTGCACAGTCGGTCGACTTTAAACAATGCTATTTTCAATTCCTAAATATTTGGGAAGGGTAAAATGTTAAGTGAAATACAAATTATTAGTTGTTGAAAGGAACGATGAAAAAAGATGATCACTTTAATTCACAATTTTTCAACGTACAACATAAAATGCAACGGTCATGTCAGGAAAAAGGAAAAATCTGAAAAACGTCTTGTGGTAGCTTACTTTTAGTGTTCTTTCTCGTTAGTGATCTAGAAGCTCTTTGATAAGTAGTGCACATTTCTTTCATAGCTTTAACTGACTTCCGGAGGACGCCATTTTGGTGGCACCGGGAGCATTTGTTTAATACACTCCATGTTAGGCCAAAATCAGGTTTGAGAAGAAAAAAAATCAACAAAAAATATGTATACAAGTTCATGGAGAAAAAAAAACAATTTCAGTCTAGATATAAAAAAAAAATTAAAGTGTCGAACTTGCTTTTTAACCTATTTTAACCACAAAAACCACACTATTAAGACCTCAGAACCAGGATGTACAGTGGAGCCGACGGCCGCTGCACTTCACAGCCTGGCCCTCGGATGGGGAGGCTTGCGTTTCATTGGGTGAAAAAGCCAGGAGATGCACAGCTCACTTTACTGTATATTCCAAGCATCTGGCTCTTTTGCTCTCAACTCTTTACCTACGGTTGTGTGTATATATGTACATTGTAAAAAGACAGAAAAGAAAGACAAGAAACCCCAGCTGTTGCGTGTCGGTCCTCACATGCGGTGCACTATGAGTCTGAGGAAGAGATGGACTCTCCTCTGCTTGTGTGTTCCCATACAGAGCTACACGACTGACCTGGTCATGGACAACAGTCACACGTCCCTCCTTTAAAACCCTTTGACATATATTCTCCACAGGCTGCCATGTTGTGTTGCTCAGAGGTCAAGAGGTCAAATGTACCAAACAGTGCCAAGGCTTAGTAGAGATATTTCAAGGTACATTTTTACTAATTTAATAACCAATACCAAAAGTTATATCCAAAGTACTGTCGTTGTGACATCCCCCATCCAATTTGGTTGTCTCTGTTTCAAAGTCGAGCTGATTCTCCCACCAATCTTGATGCGCTCACTTCCTTATATTATGACCAATTTTATGACTGTTACGTAGCATTTCCATTCTCCACTGGTCACAACAAGTCCTCTACCTTCAGCTGTAACTCTTGGCCTGCCCCATGTGAATATATCTCAGAGGTTAAGATCACTTGACACGGGTCAATGGAAGAAACAAAGACATTAGTTTTATACTTAACCCTCAACCCACCCTCCCTCCCCCAGATATGGTAGAACATTAGACCCCCCCCCCCGCACACATCGTAACCTCCTCCCTCTTCCCCCTTTCCTCCTCCTATGCCACAAGCTCACAGTGCCTGCCTGCCCACTGCCTCTCCCTGTGTGTTTGAGTGTGTGAGAGCATACACGTACGTGTACACAAGTAGGCGTGCGCGTGTGTGATTTTGTATCCACGTACCGTAAGAGGGGGGTGTGAGGGTGTGAGTGAGGACTAGCTGCCCTGCTCTACCATACACACCCTTGAGTGTGTGTGTGTCTGTGTGTGTTTTATAAATCTGTGTGGCTTTGATTTGTATATACCTGCACATATGTAGAGTGCACAACTGCCACCCTTTCTTTCTTCTAAGCTGTTTTCTAAGTTATACGGCATACGGCATAGCAGACTCACAAATACAGTAGATCCCCTTTATTGCCATATTAAAGACAAGCAGTAGATCACTTCAACATGGAAGTTTTTTTTGTTTCATTTTTTTGTTATGCTTATTTATAGGTGCTGTATTTTACATTTTAATGTCTTATTTGAGTTCTGTTTTTTATTATTGTTGTTATTATTGTATGGAAGGGACTATAAGGGGTCATATAATTATTTTTTTGACTGATAGACTGCCGGCAGTATTGGGTTATATGTACGAGATTTAGTTGTCATACATGTATATTTAGTGATCTTTGAAGACGTTTTGACAGTGTCATTTATGTGGTTTGAACTGAAATGAGAGAGCAACCCGATGACGTCGTCGATAGCATTATGGTGCATTCACCGTTCATGATTTGATGCGTCTGTGCATTTCTATTTTCCTCTTCACTTCAGCAAGCATGATTGAAATCAGGTTGACTTATATTCTATTTTGTACGTTTTCTGTGTATTACTGAACCTAGCACAGGACAGAAGTTGTGGTGGGGCTCAAGAACCAATAGCATCTGAAGTCTGGAACTGCTGTCCTTTGGCATCACCTCTGAATCTGACATTTATTTTGTAAGATTTCCCAGCTTTGTTTGAGATTAATAAAATGAGGTAGATTTTTCCAAAATAAGCAGTGATCGCATCACTATATATGGGCTTAGATCCAGTGACTTTGGCATTTCCTGTTTATTGGCCTATAAACTGTGATGCACTGGCCACATTTTGTGAAGCTCTTAGTACTACGTACACTGACTATTCAGAAGATTTTTATTTCCTCAATTATTATTTGCTAAATATAGGTTTAGTTCCTTCAGACAAAAAACCCCTGATCAAATGACATTTTTATACTTTACAATAACACAAACAGGTGTGTAAAGCACAAGCACTATTGACCAAAAACCTCTTAAAAAGGGGGAAGGCAACTTTACCTTAAAAGATTAATTGCATGCTCTTAAATATTTTCTATGCCGTTCTGACTTTACAATAAGCTTAGTCTTTAAAGATAAATAAATGATTGGCAACTTTTTAAATTGTGAGCATTTGGAGCACAATTGGACTTACCTCATACCCTGGCGCTATAGAGTGGGTCCTGAATGCCTACTGCTCAGCTGCCCCTCCTACAGCAAAGCTGGTGGTGATTGGATCACCTCTGGAGGGCAGTGAAGTTAGCACACTGTTCAAAAGCACTGTGTCCTGCATGGTTCCAGACCACGCTCCCTCAAGTGACACACTGCCAGTCTGGCCAACCACAGCAGTCCCTATCAGCTGGTTACACTTGTCTACTGAATTTCATTGGAAAAATTTGATAGATTGAACAAAAACAAAAAAATCTAGGATAAAAGCACAAGTACTGCGACAAGTTTAAGCAAAAAATAATGGTCTTTACATATAATGGCTTTTGACAAGTAAAGCTTAAATTGATCATACTCAAAAACCTTTCAAAAAAGGCATTGGTCTTTTAGCACTATTAAAGAGACATCTTAGCTCAGCACTTAACCGTCTGCAAGCCTTTTCCTTCGGACTATCTTTTCATAGGATTGCCTTTGCCTTAAAGTGATCCAGACCGAAGTGTTGATATTGTTTTAAGAATTGTTCATAAACGAATGCAGTAAGCTGGCTCGGTCTCTTGGACTGAAGTCTTGCGCCCATCCCATCTTCATTCTCATTAGACTTTTCATCACTGGTCTCCAAGTCTTGTGCAGGCACCACATGGAAACAAGCAATCATTTCAACACAGCTGTTGATGTCTGCAGCAAAGTTGTTTTGTCTGGAAATACTCCACTGCTGTTGAACAAAGGGGGGCCAGTTCTGTGACTGTCTGCAGTCCTGGGCTGGCTCCTCCAGAGGTGATGCCAATGCAGACTCTTGTAGGCCACAGATTTAGTAGGAAGTCCACAATCAAAAGCCCCTATGCAGATAGTTGGTATGGCCCTCATTAAGAACAATGCAGGCTTGAGTGTCTGGTAGAGGCACTAGTGAAATGGAGTTGATCAACGGTATATGAGGGTCCCAGAGGGATTTCAGTTTGATACTATTACTAACATGTCATGATGTCAACTGTGTTCCCAGCTATTGCCCGGTTAGAACAGGCGACATAGCTGACAGGCAGTGCTTTTTGATTGGGAGTTGAATTTGTGTGGATTTGTTTTCCTTTATCTATTTCTCATTTGATGGAAATGGAAGATTTGAATGGGAGTTCTCTGACTTTTTCTCCCCAGATCATGTTCTGCTGTCAGCCATTTTGGAAACATTGCATGTATACTGAACAAAAATATAAACACAACATGCAACAATTTCAAAGATTTTACTGAGTTACAGTTCTTATAAGGAAATCAGTTAATTTAAATAAATGTATTAGGTCCTAATCTATAGATTTCACATGACAGGGCAGGGGTGCAGCCATGGGTTTGCCTTGGAGGGCATAGGCCCACC